ACCAAACCTGACCCCCCCACCCACACTCCCAACCCCCTCCTCCGCCCACACCTCCCCCCCCATATCCCCTTGCCCCTTGGCCCCTGTCAGTCAGGGAATACCATGCTAAAAAAGGACTACGAGTGTTTAATTTTCCTTCCAATACAAAGGAGAAGAATAAAAAACCCCAGTTGCCGCTCAAGGGGCCCATTAAGGAGCAAGCCGTAATTAAGTAGGACGAGGTAAAAGCATAGCAGACAACATGACTTATAAATTCTTCAGCAAGGTCAGTGCAAGCTGCGTCCACCCGGTGATTGAGGCAATTACACACTGTCTCTGAGATGTACTGGGAGTGCATCAGCTTGTTTGGGCTAGTGGTGGACATGAAATTTATGTAAATAATTAATACCATCAAGATTACTGTGATGGATTAAAGGAGATCAGGCCGGGGATGGGAGACTGGAAACCCACACAATACCGCGAGGTTGCTGCCCTGGCGTGTTGCAGAGAGTTGAGGGTCACCATTCCATCTGATTTAAAATTAGAATCATGCAAAGCAATATATCCGAATGCAGCATGCTTGTTTTTTTTCCCGACTTGATACAATTAGTAGCACAGACAGCGTTGGCAATGACTTCTATAGGAAGCAATGGCGTTCATTTATTAAAGGCAAATAGACTGTGCGTGTTCTCCAAGGGCATCTGCGCCAAAGCTTAGTAAATGAGATGATCAGGGGCGGACTGACCTTTGGAAACCCGGGCACTTGCCTGAAGGGCCCCGGGTCAGTATGGGGCCACCCCCCATGAGATGCCCCTGGTACCTTTTTCATAGGCTTTTTTTGAGTTTGGGCAAGGACACAGGGGCACACATGATAACCCCTATTGCCCGGGGGCCTCATGAGTTGTCAGTACCACCCTGAATGAGATGAAGCTTCACTATGCAAATAATACCCAATCACATGCAAGGAAAATTGTAAAAATGCATTTGCTTGCACATGATGGAAATGTGATGGAAGTCAGCAGAGAGCTCCCCCTCATTTTACTCAAGCTCTGGAGTGACAACAGGCACTTGCCAAGTAACACAGCATATTTGCCCTTTAGTAAATCAACCTCTATGTTTTACCTCTTTTTTGAGTTCATTTAGTTTCCAAATCAGAATTCGGACAAACCGTTTCATTTTTCTGGAGATATGACTGAGCCCCCCCGGTGGGTGGGGCAAAATACGTCAGTGTGTGAAAGATTATTGTTTTATTATATGATATTATGTTTTTAGGAGCACACTCAGACTATTGTTTAAAATAACAGTTTAAATAGCCCCTTTGGCGCCAGCATTAGTGACAGGCGCGCACCGTGTAAATAACACGTAACGCAGGCGAGTGCACGTGCATGCCCTATGTTCCAAGTGCCTGCACAATCTGTTTGGCTCCATAAGGGACATTCTGCGCATGCGCACTATTTGTGCACCTGCGTGGAACTTCACCTACACTATGGGCAGGTCCTTTCCTGACAGTTACTTTGTAAAAAAAAGGGGTTATTTTGGGGGGGTATTTCTACTGTTCTGACATTTGGGGGATATCTGTACTGTCCTGACATTTGGTTGGGGACAAACCTGTACTGTTCTGACATTTTGGGGATATCTGTAACTGTTCTGACATTTTGGGGGATAATCTGTACTGTTCTGACATTTGGGGGATACTCTGTACTGTTCTGACATTTGAGGGGATATTCTGTACTGTCCCTGACCCATTTGGGGGATATCTGTTACTGTCCTGATCCTGACTTTGGGGGGTATCTGTACTGTCCTGACATTTGGGGGGTATCTGTACTGTCATGACATATGGGGGGATATCTCTGTACTGTCCTGACATTTGGGGGGTATCTGTACTGTCCTGACATTTGGGGGATATCTTTACTGTTCTGACATTTTGGGGGATATTCTGTACTGTCCTGAACATTTGGAGGATATCTGTACTGTTCTGACGTTTGGGGGATATCTGTACTGTCCTGACATATGGGGGGGGATATCTGTTACTGTCTGACATTTTGGGGGGTATCTGTACTGTCCTGACATTTGGGGGATATCTGTACTGTCCTGACATTTGGGGGATATCTGTACCGTCTGACATTTGGGGGGATATCTGTACCGTTCTGACATTTGGGGGATATCTGTACCGTTCTGACATTTGGAGGATATCTGTACATTCGTCCTGACATTTGGGGGGATATCTGTACCGTCCGCTGACATTTTGGGGGATATCTGTACCGTCCTGACTCATTTGGGGGATATCTGTACTGTTCTGACATTTGGGGGATATCTGTACTGTTCTGACATTTGGGGGACATCTGTACTGTTCTGACATTTGGGGGGTCTCTGCACTGTTCTGACATTTGGGGGGATATCTGTACTGTTCTGACATTTGGGGGATATCTGTACCGTCTGACATTTGGGGGATATCTGTACCGTCCTGACATTTGGGGGATATCTGTACCGTCCTTACATTTGGGGGATATCTGTACCGTCCTGACATTTGGGGGATATCTGTACCGTCCTGACATTTGGGGGATATCTGTACCGTCCTGACATTTGGGGGATATCTATACTGTTCTGACATTTGGGGGGATATCTGTACTGTTCTGACATTTGGGGGATATCTGTACTGTCCTGACATTTTGGGGGATATCTGTACTGTTCTGACATTTGGGGGGTCTCTGTACTGTTCTGACATTTGGGGGATATCTGTACTGTCCTGACATTTGGGGGATATCTGTCCTGTTCTGACATTTGGGGGATATCTGTCCTGTCCTGACATTTGGGGGATATCTGTACTGTCCTGACATTTGGGGGATATCTGTACTGTCCTGACATTTGGGGGATATCTGTACTGTTCTGACATTTGGGGGGATATCTGTACTGTTCTGACATTTGGGGGATATCTGTACTGTCCTGACATTTGGGGGATATCTGTACTGTTCTGACATTTGGGGGATATCTGTACTGTTCTGACATTTGGGGGATATCTGTACTGTCCTGACATTTGGGGATATCTGTACTGTTCTGACATTTGGGGGGATATCTGTACTGTTCTGACATTTTTGGGCCTCAAGAAATGAGATCGGCCGTCAGTACATCAGGACTGATCGACTTTCAGATATACTGTATCCCCATAGTTCGTGGCCTCTATAAATTTCCTACAGACTAAATAATAAACACGGATTTCATTTGTTTCAACTGAAGAAATGTAGCAGAATACATCCTAAATTTAGGAATAACAATTCATTTATTTGCAAAATTTTATAATGGAAAGAAAGACTTTTTTTTTTTTCAAAATTTTCATTCATTTTTTGTTTATTTAATAAAAAAAAAACATGGTGATTAAATACCACCCAAAAAAAAACTTTCCCCCCTTCCAGTCCGGACACTTTCCCCCCCCATTCCAGTCCGGACACTTTCCCCCCTTCCAGTCCGGACACTTTCCCCCCTTCCAGTCCGGACACTTTCCCCCCTTCCAGTCCGGACACTTTCACACCCCCCCTTCCAGTCCGGACACTTTCATCCAACCCCCTTCCAGTTCGGACACTTTCCCCCCCTTCCAGTCCGGACACTTTCCCCCCCTTCCAGTCGGACACTTTCCCCCCCTTCCAGTCCAGACACTTTCACCCCCTTCCAGTCCGGACACTTTCACCCCCTTCCAGTCCGGACACTTTCCCCCCCCTTCCAGTCCGGACACTTTCCCCCCCTTCCAGTCCGGACACTTTCCCCCCCTTCCAGTCCAGACACTTTCACCCCCTTCCAGTCCGGACACTTTCACCCCCCTTCCAGTCCGGACACTTTTCCCCCCCCCCTTCCAGTCCGGACACTTTCACCCCCCTTCCAGTCCGGACACTTTCCCCCCCCTTCCAGTCCGGACACTTTCCCCCCCTTCCAGTCCGGACACTTTCCCCCCCCCTTCCAGTCCGGACACTTTCCCCCCCTTCCAGTCCGGACACTTTCCCCCCCTTCCAGTCCGGACACTTTCACCCCTTCCTGTCCAGGCCAATTTTCAGCTTTCAGTGCTATCACACTTTGAATGACAATTGCGCGGCTCATGCAATACTGTACCCATATGACATTTTTTAGCATTTTTTTTTTTAGACAGATAAAACTTTATTTTGGTGCATTTATTCACCACTGGGATTTTTGTTTTTTTGTTTTTTTTTGCTATATAAATGAAAAAGTCCATACATTTTGAAAAAAAGAGTATTCTTATACAATTTTGCAAATAAATAATCTTTCTTCATAAATCTTGGCCAAAATGTATTCAGTTATCCTTTTAGTAAAAAAAAATAACCCAAATTAGTTTTTTATAACCAAAGATTATAATTTAAAAAAAAAATGTTTTCTACATTTTTATTTTATTTTTTTACATTATTATTTATGGTGTTTTTTTTTTTTAACATACTGTCCACCCTACCAGTACAGTGTCACCATAGTAACACTGTACTACTTGTGTGGGCGGAGATAAAAAAATTTTTTTTTTTACACTGATTGCTTTTACACCCATAAAGGCTGTAAAAGCAATCATCCTCGATCCCCTCATGTTTTGCATTGTATTGGTATTGTTCTGTCACATGTTCTGTCCCCCTTTGTAATGTACAGCGCTGAGCGAACTATTGGCGCTTTATAAATACTGTATAATAATAATAATAATTTCTCCTTCTCTCTGGCTGCATTCTTGCAGCCATTGAGAAATACTGTGAGAGCTGTGATTGGTCACAGCTTGTCACATGGCACAAGGCTGCTGTGAATAGCCCTGTACCATGTGATCTCTGTGATCATTCACAGATTTCAGAAGTAGTAAGCAATGATGTCAGAAGTGACATCCTGCTTACACCTATTCATGTGATTACTGATTGGCCAGTCAGCAATCACATGATCGGAACCTCACACAGAGGTCCCGTACAGCCATCGGTGTTCCGCTTTGTCCAGAGGACACAGCGGGCACCAAATCGTGGTGCTGCGCACTCCCAGGGAGCCCACACAATCCAAAATGGCAGACGCCGTTTATGAACGGCAACCCGCACCTGGACTTCCACCGTCCAGCCATTTATATACAGCAGCCGGATGGGAAGTGGTTAACCAATCTAAAAAAATTGTTCGTTGGGCAATACATAGTGTCGACTACAAGTGGATGTGATGTGGTGTGCGTGTGACCTTGTAGCCACTCCCTTCCGGCCAGAACGATCGATATACACAACGATTACCAGCAATGAGTATAATATCGTTTATCACATGACCTCTATACAGTTGTGTTCAAAATAATAGCAGTCAGACATCACTAACCGGATCAATCACTGTTTTTGGTGGAAATGATATATCTACATGGCAAATAATTTCCTAGCAGGTGTAGTAGAGTAATAGAAATCCAACAGACCCAACAGTCATGACATGCATTCTGCTGATTCTGTGTCATTGAATCACTCATTGAGGGGCGTGTTCAATATAATAGCAGTGTGGAGTTCTATTAGTGAGGTCATTCATTCTTTGAAAAACAGGTGGCAATTATTGCCCTTATTTAAGGAAGGAAGGCAGCAAATGTTGTACATGCTGGTTACAGTGCATTTCTCTCTGAAATTCTGAGGAAAATGGTCGTTCCAGACATTGTTCAGAAGAACAGCGTACCATGATTAAAAAGTTGATTGGAGAGGGGAAAACATATAAAGAAGTGCAGAAAATGATCGGCTGCTCAGCTAAAATGATGGCAAATGCTTTAAAATGGCAACCAAAACCTGAAAGAACGTGGAAGAAAGTGAAAAAACTACCATTGGAATGGATAGAATAGCCAAAATGGCGCGGACTCAGCCAACAATCAGCTCCAGGAAGATGAAAGAAGGTGTGACGTTCCCTGTGAGGACTGTTACAATTAGAAGACGCCGATGTGAAGCCAAGCTATCTGCAAGAAGTCCCCGCAAAGTCCCACTGTTGGAAAAAAGACATGTGCTGAAGAGGTTACAATCTGCCAAAGAGCACATTGACCGGCCTAAAGAGAAATGGCGCAACATTTTGTGGACTGATGGAAGTAAGATTGTTCTTTTTGGGTCTAGTGGGCGGAGACAGTTTGTCAGACGACCCCCAAACACTGAATTCAAGCCACAGTACACTGTGAAGACCGTGAAGCATGGTGGTGCAAGCATCATGATATGGGGATGTTTCTCATACTACGGTGTTGGGCCTATTTATCACATACCAGGGATCATGGATCAGTTTGAATCCATCAGAATCCTTGAAGAGGTCATGCTGCCTTATGCTGAAGAGGAAATGCCCTTGAAATGGGTGTTCCAACAAGACAACGACCCCAAACACACCAGTAAACGTGCAACATCTTGGTTCCAGACCAACAAGATGGACGTTATGGAGTGGCCAGCCCAATCCCCGGATCTTAATCCAATAGAAAACTTGTGGGGTGACATCAAAAAATGCCGTTTCTGAGGCAAAACCAAGAAATAGAGAAGAACTGTGGAATGTGGTCCAATCATCCTGGGCTGGAATACCTGATCACAGGGGCCAGAAGTTGGGGGACTCCATGCAACACAGATGTACAGCAGTTCTCAGAAACAGTGCGACTACAACCAAATATTCATGAAGTCATTCAAAGGAAAGCAAAATCTTCAAACATTTCTCAGTTTATATAGTGAATGTTTGAGTTTGTAAAGAAGAATACAAACACTGCCATTTTTTTGAACCGTCTAATATTCACTTTTTTTCTTCAATTTTTTTAGAGGAACAACACAAATTTGATGTATTTTTCTTCATGTTGTGATTTGGAATAGAATGTGTCGTGTTCCCAATGCATTTGTGTGGATGGAAATAAAAGCTATTAGAAGGATTTTTAGCTTTATTCACTTTTTTCAACACACTGCTATTATTTTGAACACAACTGTATGAATTTTGCGTTTGGTGCTTTCTCCAGTGTTGTGTGCAGTTTTTTTACGTGTTTTTTGATGAGTTTTTACCAAACCGCGTTTTGTTCAGCTCCTTTTTTTTTTTTTTTTTTTAAGTGGAATTTTTTATTATTATTATTATTATACATATTATTATTATTATATTATTATTATACAGGGAGACAATACAGCAACAATACAGTTCAATACAAGAGGGGATAGGAGGGCCCTGATCCTGGGAGCTTACAATCTAAGACTAAAAACGCAAACCGTGGCAAAAAACGTGACAGATTCTCTACTGAACTCTATTGTAGCAAAAACGTTGCTTTTTGCTTTTAAAAAAAGTCCTCGACCCTTTCCAAAAATACGCAGATGTGACCGTGTTCCATAGGAAACCAACATGGACCGCAGTGCGCTCTTTAAAATATTTTTCTGCAAAAAAAAGCACTAAAAAACGCATTGGTGTGAACGGAGCCTTAAGTACATAGAACGAGCCTCCATCACACCTCCGCCGAGGACCGTCCTGGATAACGCCTTCGGAATTGCGCAGAAATTGGAAATGATCTCGGCGCTTCACTCCTTCCGATAAGTGTGACGGCTCTATTTATTCCTCAGATTTGCATGTAAATTTGTTGCTTGAAAAGGGATCCTCAAAAATAGCAAAAAAAAAAAAAAGAGAAAGAAAATTGTTTGGGTGAGCGCTGAAATTTCATCACATCTGTGTCATATTTCCCGAGCGACAGATGAAATGTATTCACTCCTTTCAGCCGAGGTGACAGCTAATATAATGCCGCGATGCGAAGGAGCCTCCGACTGGCCGATACTGCCCTCGTGTGGCTGCTACAGAAAGAGTTGATGAAATGGACTTCAAGTGTGCAGCGCCTTGCTAAAATCTTCCTCCACCTGAAATGTCCCCCATGTTCCAGGGGCGCTGACAACTCATGGGGCCCCCCCGGGGC